ACGCACTCACGCAAAGTTGCAACACACTCGCTACTAATAAACCACTCAGTATTAATAAACGAAACGACGGGTCTGATCGCGGAATATATCGCGGATTTTACGCGAGGAGATTAAGAGGATTTTATCTCGCGGATGATAAAGTAGCTTTTTAGTATTTTTTTTTATCACACACAAGGAATTTTTGCATTTTTTAAACGTAGGCTGATCGAGTTGATATTTTCAAACGATTTTTACACATGTATACAGACACGCTTTGAACTCAAATGCGCTTAAGAAGCTGTTAAAAATTGTGTTCTTTTTTTTTTTTTTCAACGAATGTGTTTTGCGTCAAAATCGGACTTAAACGAGCGAGAAACTGAGGTGTCGCAGACTCCAATTCGTAACAATCTTAAATCGCGGTGGCATCGCGCGCGGTGGTACATTTTTCCGACGACGGCGGAAGATGACGCACCCTCGTATTTTAAGTATGTGGGTTTTCGACATGAGCCATTATAAGTTCGAGGACGCGCGCGCGAGGCGCGTGCACGGCAGACGGGGGAAAGAAAAGACTGAGAAAGAGGTGGCGGTAAACTAGGAGTGAGAAAAAAACGGAGAAAGAGAGAGAAAGAGACGGAGCGAGAGGCAGGTGCATCACGGTGACACTCCCTCGATAATTCTCCGGAGAGAGAGAGAGAGAGAGAAAAAGAGAGGAGGGAAAGAGAGAGACGGAGGTAACCGTCGGAGAGGGAAAAAGACAGGAGGACCTAAGTCACGAGTGTTGTGTCTGGAGCTCGTTTATGGTCGTTCGCTTAAACTCTCTCGCTCCCGAGGAAGGAGAGTTTCGAAAATGGCGCCGCTGTGGGGTTCGACGGACCCCGGCCGGAATGTTGAGCGAGGCCAACCTTCGCGACGATACGGGATATCTCGCGATCGAGGGAAGGAGAATTGCGAAAATGGCGTTGTCGGAGTTCGACGCACCTCGGAATATTTTGCCAAGGCAAGCTTGATTCGCGCGGAAAACTTGACGAGAATTGTTTTTGTACAAAAAAAAAAAAAAGAAGAGCAATTTGTTCGTATACAGACGCATTTCCTCAGTTGAAAAAAACAAGTACTACATGTAAATTTGTTTAATAATTAAACTTAATGCAAAGAGAGCAAACGCTCTTTCTCGATCGCCAAGAAGTTGGTGGGGCGATGCAAGACCGGACGGTCGATGCGTTTCGCTGTACGTGAATCACACACATGTGTGTTTGTTAAACTATATTTTATCGAGCTCGCTACTTCCTGAAACAAACTCGCATGTATCCAGGTAGATTTACTCGTGTGAGTCACAGAGCACGCGGTAATTTTAGATTCGATCGACCGTTAAGTTCGGAGGGAAACTTCGTGTTTTCGCCGCATTACGCGTAATTTCAAATCGGATTATTTTCACGCGCCGGGGCGCGAATGTTTATGGATTCTAAAGGATGCATCTCATCGCCGCGTCGTTTGCCGAGATATGCAACGGCAAAATATATTACATATACTCTGCAAAAACACTACGCGATCGCCAAAATTACGAAACACACGACGGACGGACGAACGGACAATAAAAATGTTTATCGCGAGCGCCTTTTACCTTATCTTTGTATGTACATACACAAATTACCGCGCTGCTTCGCGTACCGTACAACATTTTAGCCGATCGCTCAATTATGCGAAACAAGGCCGGGAAACTTGATTTTTCAGCTGAATCGCTTCGGATCGGAGAAAGAAAGCAAAACCACGGACAGCCGGAAGTATTTTCGGTTAAGCGGGGTGGATACTATTTTCGGAATACCCTTGCACTTGAACCCCGTGCCGCGCTTCCTCGCGTTTCTGATATATAACGCTAAACAAAAAATACACAGGAAAACTTTCTCTTTACGAGAGTCTTTCTCTTCTTCGAATCGCGACATATCGATTATCGTATTGATTTACATCGCAATAATGTGTCAAAATATTAATCGTCATTAAAATCAACTTTATCGCGCCAAGACTTTTGTGTTTTTGTTATTGCCGCGTTTTGTGCTCACGATCGGACCGAAATTTAACACCGAACTGTTTGCAAAATAGTGAATGGAACGATTGCGACTTGGATTGAAGACTCGCAAACGCCGTAATACGGCTCGTTAAGTACGGTACGCAAAGCAATACGAGCCTTAATAACGACCGCGGCGAGACGGGCTCTCGACGTAAAACGACAATCGTCGAGATTAACAGGCCGAAACGTTTCTCCGACGACGATCAACTATCCCGTAGTTATCAAATTATGATAGACGAGACTCGGTAAAATCTGATACCTTCGGCATTAACATTCGCACAAATAATGTATATTATTAGCTGTGTCGCGACAGCTTCTTATTATAATCGCGCAAGACGAAAATATTTAGTTTCACTACTGCAGTTTAATGTGAACTATAATTTAATGCAAGAGTATAGACGCGAAGATAATACTTGGCGCGAGATGCGTTTTCGCTACGTTCCCAACGAGCAAACTCGAGTATCAAATTTTCTGTTAATACGCACAAAAAAAAAATCTTTGCGTAAATAATAAATATATCTTTATACAAGTCCGATATTTATCTTCGTTAAGTATTTGGGAACAATTATATATATTTACAAATATTTATCTCAACCATCACGAGACGAACGAAGATTTAAACTGTGCGCCGCAGAAAATACCGTTCTACGAAACGCTGCTTTATTTGACCGTACCAAGTTTTATGGAAAACGGGGCGATATAAATTGTACATTTAACCGAATAAACGTCTCAGCTGCTCCCGCAGCGTTTTCAAAGGAACACGAGAGAACGTCCCGAACGAGACATCTAAAAGGCGTTTTTGCGGTCTCTTCAGGCGGGGCTTGGCGATCTGCGCCGAACTTAGCCTACAAGGGCCTACAGCACCGTCATCTTCCAAACAGAGTCTCAAACTAAACAAACGTCTGCGACTCAGTTACCAACTATGCCGCGGACTACCGCGGCAAACACATCTCTCTCTCTCTTCCTCCCCCTCCTTCTCGTGTCATTATCTACATTGTAATTTTGAGCCCGCTTTGTACGAGAGAGATACATATATAATAATTAATGTGGAAATCTCGTAACTTCGAAAAGCCCTGTGATATTATGACAATAATCCTATGTCGCGTAAGTAAATATGTAAACAATGTGATAACTATGTATAAACAGAGACCGATAACTAGATCTAGAAAGCGTGTTTGTAGGGAATTTGAGTCCTTTGATGATACACACACAACGCAGATGCGCTTTTAAAACAAAACACACATTTGGCGAGAATACATTTGATTGCAAAACAAAAACAAATCTTTTATCTGTCGCTTCGTGTTTTTCTTTACATAGAATCTTTTCGTTTTCTAAAATAAATATTGTTGCCGTAATATATATACACTTACGATCTCATGTATTTGAAAAAAAAAAAAAAAAAAAATTTTATAAACAAAGATACGAAATCTCGATTCGTTCGAAAGACAAAAGTTATCCGATGACGAAAAAAAGGGGAAGATTTGAGATTGATTCTAAACAGGAAATTTGACACGTGTCGATGAATGAAAATTCACGGAGGATGAGAACCTTTTTCGAGAGAAGAAGTAACGCACGATTCCACAAGCACGCAACGGCGCATCGCTCCGTGGCTGCTTCTCTGGCAGGTGTATGAGAGAAGCGAAAAATAAAAGAAAGCCACATCGTCTCGCGGAGGCTGACTGAGGCTGAGAGAGGGCATCGGGCGAGAGACAGAGGGAAAGAAAGAGAACAGACTCCGAGAAAGGAGTAAAAGGAATTCGATTTATGGACTCCTGCATTACATCCGAGCGATTAACCACTAACGATTCGTACGGTCGCGAGACGATGTCACGGCACGTGGATGAAACGTACTTATACGTATTAAGCCGACCGATCGTTCTCGCGCCGATTTATCGGCGAAAACGGAGCGGCATCGAACACCAAAGAGATCGCTTTTTTCCCGGAAACCTCCCCTTTCCCTCGGTCTCTCACCCTTTGCATTCATGTACGCACACACATACGCATACACACACCGTCCCACTGTTGCACATGACAGCGATCAGTGACGGATGGACGTCTCTCTCTCTCACGCGTTTAGGTTATGTTAGAGCGCGGCGCTGCAACGCCAACACACACGGGGGTTGCAACCTTCCCCCCCGTTAACGCGAGAGAAAATCACGATGTCGACGGGGAAGACGACCAGGACGCGGTGAACACGAGGGCAGAGAAGCCGTTGCTCTCTCGCGCTAGTTCCCATCGACGGGGCAGCACTGTCCAGAGCACTGACAAGCGGAACCAAAACACTGCGAGCGAGCCGAGGCGGACGCCGACGACACGATCGTCCGACGCGGCGGATTTACTCACGGCGCGATCGCGAAATGTAATCGACCGACCGTATACGCGAGATGTGCTTTAAATACACACGGCGCACCGGATAAGAACACTGGACACTAGAAAAGGAGACGGGACGAAACGGGAGACAGAGAGGAGGCGTAAGAGAGATAGGGAAAGAGAGAGACGTCCGTCGCGCTTTACTTTTCACACAGGCCACGCACGGCGCAAGTATCCCGAGGGACACGGCACTACCGACAAGACGGACACTCACCAGGCTGCTTGTTGGCGATCTTGTTGAAGCAGTTCTGAAAGACCTCGTAGAGATGCATCGGCTCGTCGTCGCTGGCCGCCATGTTTTCGCACGAGACGTGAAAACGAGTGGACGTTCCGTGGTCGAGGCGAGTGGGCACGGTTTCGCGGTGCGGCCGCGCGCGGAGCCACCCTCCTCCCGCTACGATCACCCACACTACTGAAGTGCACCGCTTCACGGACGCGGTTCTTATATCGCGCAGCTGGCGCCTCCACGCGTATGTGCGCGAGCGCCTCCACGCTTGCGCGCTATATTTGAAGCGTAATGATCACGACCGCGCGGCAATCCTCAGTGAATTCCTCGACGTACGTATTCATACCGTGGTTGAAATTCTATTGCACGCGCTCTAGAAACAAAGATATGCACTTTGTATCGAGATGAACGAATCTAAAGAGATTTTTATGCAATAAAAACAATGTTGCAAAAGTCTTTATGCGGCGAATTACGGCGCGACGGATTTCTAAGTTTTTTCTCTCTTTTCTCTGTAACGCTGTTTATTAAAAAACCAAATCTTTCACATTTATTGAGAATGTAGAAATAGTTTATACAGATTTTGTATATACATGGATTATTAGGTACATGTGTGACAAAATTAGATAATTCGATAATTCGTAGATAATTGAGATTCGCGCGAGCTTGACGCGTGATCGCTTGTCGTTGTAGAATCAGTACGATTCGAAAATATTATTAGTTAATTAAAGTAACTTATGCCTCTAAGTAACATTTTGTGATCCATATCATTAATATATAAAACTACACAACAAGAGTTATCCAAACATTAGAAATGCAACATGTTAACTGAAAATACGTAATCTTCGATTTCGCTGTGTATAAAAAGTTGTCTTATGTAATAAGTTAACATACAATATTGTAAATCTTATTATTAAGTCTTGAAACATTTGCTTAAAAATATATTATGTCACAAACATGTGTATGTATATATATATATATATTGCATTGAGAGTTTTTTTGTTCGAAGCAAACTCTTTTCAATTTTAAATCCCGTCAAAATCAGAATTCTGTGGAACAGAATGAGAAATCTCCTCGTAGTCCTGTCTCTGGTAACCTGTAAATAATTTAAATAAAAATAGCACATAAATAATATAACAATCCAGCTTCACACACTTGATTGAGAAACAGAAATACTGCTGGAGCACAAACTACAAATTTCATGCAACACAATCAGCAAACCTAAGAAAAACAGCACAGGCAAACCTAGTGACTAAAACCATTTGATTATTGATAAATTACAGCTTATATATATATACATATACACATCGCACACGTATTTTAAATCTGAACGAAGCAGTAACGTACTACAAAAGCGAAGTGGTGTGTATATCCATTGATTTACTGACCCGTGGCAGGATCTGATGCAAATACTGTAGTTAAACTGCCATTTCTCCCTTTGGCTATCCGTAGCAGATATATACTTGTGATAGGACGCGCAATTAAGTTTATAATCATAAATGAGGCACTGAATCTATTGAGTATATCTATACAAGATCAGACACACATTTTCTTACATATGAGATAGAATTTTAGTAATTAAAATATCTTACTTTTGTGTAATTAAACAAGAATAAATGTGTATATACATATATGGTACATATTTACCGTGATACGGTTCTGTTGGATAATAGACCGATAAAGTGATCACATCCAGGAATATGGAGATTACATTTATAAAAAGTGCCTATAAAATGTACAAAAAAGTACTCTCAAGTAAATACAAATCTTTCATCCGCAAAAACTTACAAATTGGAGTGGCTCGTCTGATTCTGTATTATGAATAGCCCATAATATACAAACAAAAAATAGTATATTATAAAAGAACACGCTAGTCTCTGGACACCAATTTCCTTGCATAATCCTGCAAGACATTTGATATTTGGCAAAAAGAGATCATATATAAGTTTTTGTAACAATCATGTGCGCAAATACACACAAGTTATTCTTACCATGTCACAAGTAGGAAGTGAATAGCAAATATGACCTAAGAAAATATGAAATATTATTTTCCTTCTTATCGCATCTTATTGTCAACAATTTATTTAAAAACATGCACATTTATAAGTTTATTGAGTAGAAAAACAAGTCAAGAATTTGCACAAACACATTAGATATCATTTTTTTTATTAATGTATGTATGTAACTCCAACATTTGTCACCAAAATATTGTCATGTTTATGTTGGGGAAACAAAACAACGGAAATCCCCACAATGAAAACAAAAGTTATGTCTTATTTACGTACCTTTAGAGGAAAATGGGATAAATTGGTTATATTTGGCATTTTCGTTGTACAACAGCAGCTATTGTCACACCAATGACTGATTATACAAAAGGCGATTAAAAAATGTCTCTGTCTGTCGATGAACTAATCTAATCTTTCTTTCTGCCCACAGTTTTATTTTTTTTCCCTCAGCTCTCGCCCAAGTACGAAAAACACGCACATATACTGCGCACATCAGCTGTTCAGTATTGCCTTCTGACAGTTACTGCCATCTGACATTGTTGTTTCAAACTATATAAAGTATCGCGCGATAAAAACACAACCCGATATCTTTAATCTTTAAACTCGCGATAACGTCAAGCTGGCGCAATTGCAGTAAGTGTTAACTGTTGACGAGATTGTTGCGCGCATCGTCGCTTGTTTTGCGCGTTGTTGCAACAATATCGAGATATTTATGATCAATCAAAATGTTATACAAAAGTCGTTACTTGTTGAGACATTTTCGGCCCTTCGTGAAATTTTATCACGAAGACGCTTTTGTTATTGGCAACCCACCGGATACGAGTTCAGCGATCTATCAGGTTAGGAAATATATTTACATTTACAAGTAAGCATACATGATTATCTAGGTTTTTTACAATTAAAGTAGTATTCACGTGTTAAATTATTGTTTAAGGAAAATTACGCACAAATGAAAACTCTGGTTGACAAATTGAAAAACACAGTGGAAAAGATAGTCGAGGGCGGTGAGCGGAAAAGCAGAGACAGACACGTAAGCAAAGGAAAGCTATTACCACGAGATCGAATAAACACTCTGTTAGACAAACATTCACCTTTCCTAGAATTTTCACAATTAGCTGGATATGATATGTATGGTAAAGAAGAAGTGCCAGCTGGTGGACTTATCACTGGCATTGGCAGAATAGAAGGGTATTTCATGATAAAAGTCTTAGTGCTATTAGTCTTTTGAACATGTATCTTTATCACAAGCATCTCTTTTCAGTACTGAATGTATGATAGTGGCAAATGATCCCACAGTGAAGGCTGGTACTTATTATCCCATCACAGTAAAGAAACAATTGAGAGCTCAAGAAATTGCTGAAGAAAACAGACTACCTTGTTTATATCTAGTTGACAGTGGAGGTGCAAATTTACCTAGACAGGCTGACGCGTTTTCTGATAAATTTCACTTTGGTAGAGTTTTCTATAATCAAGCAAACATGAGTGCTAAGGGAATAGCTCAAATTGCAGTGGTTATGGGAAGTTGCACAGCAGGTTTGTAATTTTATTATACCTATATTCATCTTTTGATATTTTATATGAATTTGTTATTTATATTATAGGTGGTGCATATGTACCTGCTATGGCAGATGAAAATATTATTGTTGGTAATCAAGGTACAATATTTCTGGCGGGTCCACCGCTTGTAAAAGCTTCCACTGGTGAAGAAGTGTCAGCCGAGGAGTTGGGAGGAGCTGCGCTTCACTGTCGGTAAATAGTTTTTGATAAATAATTGTTTTAAATATATGTTGATTCTTTAACCGTAAAACGGCTCAGTTATAATTCTTAAAATTTCAGTCAATCAGGAGTTACAGATCACTTTGCAATTGACGATACGCACGCTCTACACCTCGCGCGTCGGATTGTAAAGAGTCTAAATCAACAAAGACCTATGGATGTGAAAATTGCCAAGAATATCGAAGTACCTGTGCACAACGTAGACGAAATCTACGGCATTGTCGGAACGAATCTGAAACGTTCGTTTGACGTGAAAGAAGTCATTGCGAGGATCGTGGACGGGTCAAAATTCCACGAATTCAAAGCGCAATACGGTGAAACGTTAGTCACCGGATTTGCAAACATTTATGGCTATCCTGTGGGAATAGTCGCGAATAACGGTGTGTTATTTTCCGAAAGTGCTCTGAAAGGAGCTCACTTCGTACAGCTTTGCTCTCAAAGAAAAATCCCTCTTATCTTTTTGCAGAATATCACAGGTATGTTTACGAATTCGTTGATTTATATTTTGTTTTGATTTGCATTGTGGGGATATTAAACAATCGTGTCGATGTAGGATTTATGGTGGGCAAAGATGCAGAATTGGGAGGTATCGCTAAAAATGGCGCGAAAATGGTTACGGCTGTAGCTTGTGCGCAAGTGCCAAAAATTACGATAATAATCGGAGGTTCTTACGGAGCTGGAAATTACGGTATATATTTTTTTTTATTTCTTGTGTAAAAAGAAAGAAAAAACTACGTTCAAATTATATAAATTATGCAACTTAGGAATGTGCGGTCGTTCTTATTCTCCGCGTTTCCTTTATTTGTGGCCAAACGCTAGAATATCGGTAATGGGAGGAGAACAGGCAGCTGGCGTATTAGCACAAGTCGCGAGTAATCAACGTGAGAGAGAAGGCAAACAAGTACGCGAGTTGATTTTCGTTTTTTTTCTTCAATGACACTAATATTGACATTTCCAATTTTTTTTTTTTTTAAGTGGACTCAAGAGGAAGAAACGAATCTCAAAAATTCAATTATAGAACAGTTTGAAAAGGAAGGCAATCCTTTTTATTCTAGCGCTAGGTAAGTTACTAGGTTTTGCAAAATCTCTATTCTATTTTACATGTATTTCTTTTTTAGACTTTGGGATGACGGTGTGATCAATCCGATCGACACGCGAGTCGTGCTCGGTCTGAGTTTGTCTGCAATTTTGAACGCACCTATACCCGATTCCAAGTTCGGAATTTTCCGAATGTAATTCGCAAAGTGCAAAAACGTACAAGTGAAAACGTATGAAAGTATGTCATGAAAGTATATTATTGTTTAATTTTATATAATAAGCTAAAGAGATTTATATAATGTATTTATATTTTGTAAAACGGCTATCTTTTTTATTGTTGCAACTGTGTACATTCCAAATATATGTTTTGTTACATTTTATACTATTATACCATCATGGTAGAAATGATGTTATTTGTATCTTGAATGAGGTTTTCTTTGTCCTTTCCTGTTCCTGTATATATATCTCGTAATTAATTGTAAATGGTTTTGTAAACAGTTATATGTAAACAATCGGGAGAAAATCGTAACTACTGGTCAAAGCGTAATTGTCAGCTATCGTTTTAATTAATCAATAATTATTTTACACTTATATATATATATATTTAAGTATAATAATTTTAGACTGAGTTTAATAAACTCTCGTATAACACGGAGGAAATTGATTCCACGTTCTACGACGGTTTACCGTTTGTATATATATGAATACGCAATTAATAGTAATACTCTTAATAATTAATTAAATTGCATTGCAATATTACACCTCGTCGCGCGACTAGGTTTCTTCGGTTTTCTCCGCTCGCAAAGGCCCATTTTCTTTTGGCAGTTGCTTTAAAAAGTGCGTCACTTGCGAGATGCATAATACACACAAGAAAATGATAAATAATAAAAACGGAAAAAATGTTGTGATTGAAAATTTGGCGGTCGCAGAACGGAGAAATTTTATGAATATAGATATATGTATGTCGTGCTTACGTTAATGCCAAGATTTAACTTTCTTTTTAAGCTTTCTCTGAATTTTATTTTTAACTCGATTTTGCCGAATTCGTTCGCATTTTACGTTTGAGTTAAATTTTAATGTCACAGTGTGTATATTTTATACAATTTACGACAATTTTACATTTTTTGTTTAGAAACCAAATTTTTTGTTTGTAAAAGATGAAAATTATGTTACATTTGTTAGTATCAAAAATTTCCTTATATTTTCACACCTATACAATCAGTAATCACCTGTGTATATCATATATACATGTGACTCCCGTTGTTATCATAATCGAAATTTCGATTATTGAGCAAGTTAACTATCGTTCTCGGAAGCGATCGTTATTAGTATTGTTATTTTGTTTGTCGCACTTTTGTCTCGGAGACTGCGTACTATTTACAGTTACGAATCTCGTCTGTAAAGAAAAAAAACATTTCGTCGTTCTACAAGAGTTTGTGAACGCAAAGGAGTATCAAGAAGAGACACATGCTCATCGCACTACACGACGAACAATTGAGCAGCACCTCGGTGACCTTGTACTTGAACTGTTCTTTGATCTCTTCCGCGAGAAATGCTCTCTCGTGCGTCCTGATTGTCGTCGGACCGGACTGGTCCTTGACTTCCTCGGCGATCACCGCTCTCTCCTTTGTGTGCGTCCTGTTTCTACCCTTCCTGATGAACTCCGAGAGCACTAACCGACAGAATACGAGACATCGTAACAGAAGCCATAAACATGATTGATACACGGCAATCGTCCTGAACGTTCGTTCATTTCGCGCGGGATGAAGAGGTGTATTTACCTTGATCGATCATGACATCATCCGCGGAATCGACCTTGATGAACGTCGACATGGTTACCTCGAACAATTTGTTCTTGTCGGTGTTTGACATCTCAATGGCCCGTCTCTTTCTGCCGAAACCGACCTGGCCGTTGCTGCATTCGATCTGTAACGTGCATGTTAATGAACATTGCGTCTTAACGAACCCGTCGCGGAAAGAGTCCGCGAGCTAATGGCATTCGACGAGCGAAGCAACAAGATAAAATCTAACAATCGTGTAAACGAAGTCAAAAGCAAAATCAGAGTAATAATCGTCGTTGTTGCGACGAGAGAATAAAGAAAACCGTACCCCCGGACATTTATCCAAGCAGACGTTAACGGTACCGCGGAACTGGACGTAGGTGCTTTCCGGAAACTTGAAGGCTCGGAACTTCGCCGTCAGGAAGTCACCGTCTACGGTGTTGAAGTTTTCGAACAAGTACGGATCGACGGAACATCTGCGAAAATAGTTACATCGAACACATAAAAAGTAAATAAATTATTTTATGATTATTTTACACTGCAAATGTATTGATGTAACATTCTGTTATAATTACCCGTTTATGATTATAGTTTCCTCCTGCGACTTCGTGTCGGTGACCAACATGTAAGTCACCAGCAGCCCGTAGATCGGCGCCGAGTCATTGTCCAAAAATATTTCCATCTGCAACGGTGTGCCGGGACTAACGTTAAGTTCTCCGGTCACCAGAGTTCCACCTTGCCGGACTCCGACCCCGAGAATCGGCACTGGCGCCGCTCCCGAAATTTCTTCACGTATGTCGAGAACTCTGAGATAAACAAGTAAGTTGTTTGTTTTACAGTTTAAAAAAAGCTAAATATTATAAGCTCTCCGCTTAATAATAATAATTTACGTATAAACTCGCATGACAGTTTAATAATAATAATAAGCTGCGGATTTTATGCAAATTGTACGATTCAGAAGATCACGCGAAGTTTCGCGAGATTGACGCGCGTCGAATCTCGCGACAGATTGCACGCTAACAGAATCCGAAAAAAAAAAAACCCGTAATCGTCTATTTTTCGACAATCAAGTCACAGGAACGCGCATATGGCCGCGCTGCTGCCCGATGATCGATGTTGCGTGTTCGAATATGCAATTCTAATCGAGCGGCATTTGTACACGCCACACCAAAAACGTTGGAGACCATCAGCGTTGACGTTCTGTAACGCCACCGCAGTTATCTCCGTAGGAAGATTCGACCTACTTTACGGGTTTTTACGCGGAAAATTATGCACGCGAGCCGATCCATTTTACCGCTGAAAAAAAAACAAACAAATCCGCCATGCCTCGCGTGCGTCGTATTTTACCGGACGCGTATATAAACCAATTCCGAGGCCGAGGTGTGTATCTGCTTCGGTTTGTTGCAGACTCATTGCTCACTGACCGCGCGAACATCACGGCCTTGGATCTCGCGAAGGGCATCACAGATCGGTCAGGCAAAATCGCGCGCGATGACAGAAGTAATAATAAAGACAAACGTTCGCCGGAATGGGGGTAGATCGTGAAATTGACATGGAGACGCCATGTGGAACGATCGAATGTAGATCGACAACGACGTATCAGACGATGTATCATTAGCCACTGTTACAACTACGATTCGCATTATGTTACGCGATATTTTTGTTCGTCTGGCTCGATTCTCTTTTTATTTTTATATCCCTCGAGACGCACAGAGCGCGCGCCTCGTTAAATCACTTTCTGACGCGTGACGACCTCTCGTGTGCGCGAAACACCGATGTAAAAATCACTTAATTACAGGACTTATTCTCGTGCGAGAAGACGTAATTGTATCTGCTCGGGAAGAAATCCATTCGAATATCTCTTTAATTCATCGGAGAAATTCCTCGAATTCCTCCGGATCTATCAATTAAAAAGCTTCAACTCGGAGAATTAATCGCGTAATCGCGTCTTTCCGTAAATCAGCGCCGCAAGTTTGCCTCCGAAGCCGCGCATATTCGAAAATCACAGGATTCTGTTGACAAGCGGGAAACAGTTACGGGAAATCTCGGGGGATAGGGAGAGATTTTACGACTTTGACCTCGCGCGCGCTACCACACACTGACAATTCGACAATAAAGATTTCACGGCTTCCTGATGTGAGGCGAAATCCGCGGAATCCGCGCGTGATCCGATGCCAAGGTGTACGCGCGATTAGCGCCAATAAATTAGCGCCGTGGCAGCCGGCAATCGCGATAAAAATTCCCGCCGTGTTCACTCGAGAGCACGTCGTCGTCCCCCGAGAGAGTACTTGAAGAATGTCGACTGGCAAAGCGACTTTTGTCGGAAGGAGGATGAGGAGAGAAGGTATAGGATCTTTAACGACAGGCTTCTTCTCTCTCCGGCACTTCGTCGCTAAAATCGCGGCGCTCACGCACGCTTCTCGTGGCTTTTCCACCATCTGCAAGGAAACCGTTGCGCAAAGGAATCGGCTGTGCCGTCGTCCGTCACGCCGTAAAATCAACTTTGGTGATGTCACCGCGTGTCTTAACTATATACGCGTACAGGAAATATCCCGCTATTAAATTTCTCGGAGTATTTCGCTTCTTCTCTTGAATTCTTTCGAAAAAATGTGTAGAGAAGGAAGAATTTTTAGAGATATTCGAAAATTAAATTTTCCGAAATGAAATTACGGCTACTTTGACGAGGTTGCTGTTTAATTGCAACGCGAGATATGTATTTGTGCGGTTCAAACGCGCGATTTGGTCGTTACTTCAATTTTCCTATGCCGTGAACCGAGGCATGAATCGCAACATTTCTTTTGCCGCGCGGCGTTCGATGCAATTTTCCTCGCATCTCAATCACTGTCCGTTCCTCGTCGATTTCTGCGTATTTGCGCATCGACAACCGCGCGTTTCTTCGCGAGCAGCCGGCCGGAATGGGTCCGCACGAGATGTGACTGACCCGTCAAGTGATTTTCGACGCGAGGACGGAAAAAGGCGAGGAATGTCGATTAGGTGTTACGCGAATTGAATTATATTACAGGTTTTCCAGCAGCTGCGCAAGCGCGCCGACCGTTGTTCAAATAAATCAGACTCGGCAGAATTTCTCGACTCGTTTGCAAATTATAAGCGTCCACGCGAATGATGACGCTCCCGTGGCCGTCTGGCTGGTTGCCCGCATGCATATTCAGGTCATGCGGGAACAATTTATTCCCGCTCGAATGTAGATCGGCCGATCGATCGATCGTTCCGTAATCATCGAATTTTCCGCGCACAATCTTCGTCGTCCTCGATGAGCAGTCGCATCTGCTCCGCATCGTCGTTCAACCTGTTCCAGATCGTCGACTAGTTTTTTTTTTTTTTTTTTCCACCGATTGTAAATGTCGCTCGCCAATCAAGTCAAAATAACATCACGATCACGTCCGATTTGCGAATTTAATCAGACTCATAATCGCATTAATTCTCACTCCGCGAAGCAAACGACGCGAATCTATTTCAAATACTTACGATGACACGGGAAACCATAAACGTTTATATCGTTTGACGCCGTTGGGATGAAACACGATAATTCCACGACAAGCACACTCCATTACGTTCAACGATCCTAGACTCATTTATTACAACATGCCATCGCGGGCGAATGGCTCGATACGAAACTTTTTCCGGCTTTTCTTCTTCGGAATTGAGCGGAAGGATACGCGGTATCACTTGGCTGATAATATTTTCCACCTTGCCTCTGGCAAACATAATAATCGGCGCTAATAAAAATCGATTTGCATCAACGACGCTGTAAGTTATTAAGAAACATCGCTTTCTTGCCACGAACCATGCTCGTCGACTCGGCAGGATGTGATTGTCATGTTCGCCAAAATGGCGAGCGAGGGCTTCCGCACTGCGGAGAGAAAAGTTTTTCTCTCACACTCGCGCGCGCGAGAGAAGCGCGACTTCCGGGTAATTAAACCCACTCGTTTGACGATGCCGAGGATCATTTCGTACGAAGGGGAAGAGGAGAATCTTGTCTATCGGGAAAGGGAAGGGCACGACGCGCGATTAACACTGTCTGTCGGATGACTGGCGAGAAATTCAAAGCTGCGGTCGGTTCGAGAAATCGCGCCAAGTCAAGCTTCTCCACAATGTAATAGATTTGATAAATCTCGCGCTCATTAGCAAGAGTTTCCTCCTCTCCACTTATCCTCCTCTATTTACGCTACTCAGAGCTTATAACATCCACCTTTATTGCCTGTTATTATTTGTATACCGCGATAAATTATCGCATAAATAATATATCGCGACACATACGGCCGCGTGGTTCTTGCCGCAATTTCTTGTTGCAATATATCGAACGCCTCGAAAGATTGATGACGACTTACTCGGGTTCCTGAAAGCCCGCCGGAAGAACGCTCCGCCGTACGGCCGTGTGATTGGCCGCGATGGCGATTTCTGGCTCCACGACAACTTCGGTGATTACGCATTTCACGGTGAACGTGTGTTTGCTGGAATCCGCCGGCTCCTCCACTATTACACGATGATAGTACATCTTTTGACCCTGCGAAGCACACACGTCAACAATCATCAAGACTTATTACGCGCCGTGTATCATTTCGAATGAAAAAAGAAAAAACAATTTAACCAACGGCGTGACAGTGAAAAGCATTCCGATGGATTATTCAGAGGTATCAATTTGCAATTAAATTCGCGATTTGCACGTAAATCGGGAGATTCAGCAAGCTGAGATTACGAGGCTCACCGTGACTTTGTTGAGGACTCTCGTGATGCCGCATCGCAGCATGTCCTGTTCGAGCAGCGACAATTTGAACGTGGCAACGCCGTCGTGAAGCTGCGGCTTGCAAGCCTCATCTGTAACAACGGGACAGTTTCGTGCAATTATTCGTACACGTATAATCTTTTCATTTACGCGCAACGCGACGCGCTTGAGGATATTCACCTGGAAAATCTTTGAACTGTTGTAGGTATATCTTCGCCTGCGGACTACTCCTCACTATGTCCACCTCCATCATCTGCTCGGTGCATCTTACTTTACTTTGCACTGAAATGCAAGAAAAATATCGCGTAAAACAATTTGTAATATTCGAAATATTCTCGAGAGATACTTTTCGCATAGCAAGTTTTTAATATTTTTGACTTCGAATAAGACTTCTCTTTTCACTATGCTGCGTTTTTTATTTGGTCTGGATTGTTAATTACGCTCGGATTGATTGGGGAAAAAAAAAATCGGCGAGAGAAACGATTTACGTTTCTGGCTCACGGAAGGATGAGCAGAAGTTAGCCGTATCCGCAAACTAAGTTGCAATATACTGCGGTAATTGCCCCATAAAGACGTAAACGTCTCGACCTTGAAAAGTGAAGAACGCAGCGATGCGCTCGGGAAATGTGCGGTGATGTATATCCCACCTGTTTATTCGCGGAATTCTATGATAGATACTTTCACCGTTACCGTCGGCTGACGTCAAGCCGACACATCGAGGAAGAAGCACATCTCGCCTCCGAAGAAGTTCAAATATTAGACTCTCTGCGCCTACGCGTGTTGATTTACGGGTCAGTCTGTTTTATTTCATTTTTTTTATTTTAAAAATAGAAATCAATTTAAATAAGATTTTTTTTTACGAAGAAACACCTGAGAGAGATCGCTTTAAAGTTTTCAAAAATGGTGTCTTTCACGAGCGTCAAAGAAGCGACAACTCAGGTGCGAGAACAATTCCCAGGATATCGTCGCGGGCATAACTCAACATTAATTCCGAGGTGGCAATATTTTTCTTGCGCTTAACGCACGCACTTCTTCACGGCGAGTCTGCGCGCGCATCGAGCAATAACTCACGATGAGGTATCATCGTCACGTGCCGCAACGCGCACTTTGTAATAAAACGAGTAGGAAACACAACTGTGTGTTTGGATTCTTATTTACATTCGTTTTTTAAAAATTTCTTGAACTGCGCTAAAATAATTTTCCTAACAATTCCTACGATATGAGCGCGGTAACTGCTTAACTATTTAAAGTGCGGCAAAATAAGTTTTTTGACGGTAATTGCGATTCGAACACAATACTTGGGAAAAAGAGGAGGACCCGTGCGGTTTCGCGCGCGATGCATCCGACATGCGGTTATTGTTGCATCCGGGCGTAAAAAGCAACAATCACCGACGAAGCTCTGCGTGTTGTCGTGTCGCGACTCCCGATAATGAATGACAGTGCGAACAATCGCAAGATGTGACGTTTTGATAACTACTTTGTGGACGTCATTAATTTTTCCTGCGTTCGCTCTAGAAGTGAACGTTATTTTGATTGAAAAAAAATAAAAATAAAAACAAAGACATGAAAATGCGACAGAGAAAGTAAAAAAAACCGAGGCGGCTAATACCGCGATAATAGCAGGATAAATAACACAACTGGTAGCCGGGATGAATCAATGAGGAATAACCCCTGGGGGGAAGATTTTTCTGCGGTTTAGCAGCTCATTTGATCGCTCGGAGCGATACCGAAGTCTTTCAGCGGAAGAGAAAGAGAGAAGAGCGCTTTCCGCGCTCATGTCCTGGACCACAAGCTCGCGAGAAGTCAAGATAAACAAGCGCGCGCCGCGTCGGCTGACGGACGCTGAACGACCGGTAGAATGTTTAATACACATTGTAGGCGAACGCGCATGCATCAGGAAGTGCGCACGAGGGAGACTATCTTCTTTTATTTTTCCGGCAGACAAATTGATGTTCAGCGTCGGCGGCCGGTTGGAAGTCCGTAGCGCGCTCTCGCTGCGCTCGGGTTGCCAACGTTCGCTCGAGATTAGCAGGTACCATCTGACAGGCGTTGATCAAGTCCTCGGCGCGAGCCTGCCCGTCGTTGCTGGCGATAAAGACGATTGGCGAATCGAAATGACACCGGCGATATAACGTCACCGAAGAGATCGCCTCGCGATATTTTAACGGGACCGTCTTTCGCCGCCGTTTCGTCCGAACGAGAGAAAAAAGAAGATTATCATCCGCGATTGCTTTTTCATCTCCGATGCAGTCGCGTCACGCGCGAAGCAACCGCATCGAGGACGCTCAGACAGAACGTTTTCCCCTTCCTTTATTTTTTCGCTTCGTTGAAATTGTTCTATCTACTTAATATGCGACGTACTCGTTTTCATCAGCATACTCGCTCGTAGGGGCGAATCGACGGCCAACGACGGCGAGAGCGTCGTCGTCGTCGCGCCTTTTCCTTTCTCGAATCAGCAACGGAAAGAGCTACATTTTTACACTTTCATTTCCTCGGGAGGAGGAAAAGACAAACGTCACCTCTGACATGAAACGTGCCGTGAATGAATGATTTCCTTCGGCTCGTCCTACAAGCGCGCGCGCTTATCTAGGCGGGCTTTACGCACGTCCGTCAGTCCCGGGCCGTCCGGGCGCGCGCAGTTAACGCGTAAATTACGTGACCGCGCAGCGTGTCGCTTTTAAACATCCCCACGGCGAAGGAGCCACGGCAGTCTTTTCCATTAGCGAGTTTAAGCGTTCTCGCGAGAACGAAGGTAACGAAGGCGCGCGGCCGATCTTCTGCCGATCTCTCGAGGAAGGAGGTCCGTGACCCTTAGCTTCCCTCCCCCCGAACGTCGCCGCTCACCGCCGAGCTGACTACCAACTCTTCTACTTCTTCCTCTTCTTCTTTATCTCCTCTCACCCACTGTGTTCTTCTCTTCTTCCTGCGCTCGCCATCGCGGCGTGTTTCTTCGTCGGCGGCGACGTGGTCACCGTGTCTTCTAAAGACGACGGCGATCCAATATTACTCTCCCGCGTCTGCAGGTATTGTCCTGCTGTTGCGGAGCTGTACATTGGCTACTAAATCGAACACTGTCGGATGTACGAGGAGGAAATCTCTTCTTCTCTCTTTCGTTACATGAAAAGACGCAGAAAACAAGTTCTCGGTGTTACGGAAAATGTTTAGCGATATATAAAATGGATTTCCTGTTATCTTGGAAGAAAAAGCTTCGAGAAGAATACAAGAGATATTTAATTTAGTCTTTGTTTTTTGATTCAGAAATGCACGCGTGTTTATTTATTTCATAATTTCTTTCTAGACAAAGGCTCAATTAAACCCGCGTCTGAAATTAACCCGCACGCTGATGAGGTCCTAAATCAATCAAACTCTATGTCAAGAGCCGTAGAATATTAAGGCCCTTCGCGCGTACGATATATTATTTTCTGCCGTCCCGGATCGCGCATTTACTTCGCATTATCCCCGCCCGTGATTATATTCGCGGCGGCTGCGCTCACATAGGATACTATCGGGCGTAATTATCAGCTTCAAATGTGGTGCACTCGCTAATCCCCCGATCTCGGCCCGAGGTCCGTGAACCTGACCCTCTTCCTTCGTCTTTTTCCACGTCTTCCCTCTCGCGCGCGCGCACGCTCTCCCTCCTTCAGAGAGGAGAGATCCTTCCTTATTATTCGACGCGTCTTATTTCTTCCTGCGCTCTTCTTTCAGCCATTAAACTTAAGAAGGTACTACATGCACCTCCGGTCCTCTCGTCGATCCTGGGAGAGTTCCGCTTCTTTTTCCTTTCCTCGACTTCTTCCTCCTTCTCCTCTTTCACAAGGTACTTGCTATCGGCCACCCCCCGTCTCCCTTCAGCCTCTCGTTCGCGTACTTCGACGCGCCTCTTTCAACTTGCAAGATTAAGATTTCCGCAAGATAACCGATAATGACCTCCCGACTGATGAAGAAGATCCGCAACCTTCGACCTTCTCTTCTTCGTGTACCTTCGACACGCGAGTTCTTGCCTCTCGTTCGTCTAAGCAGATTTGTCCGATTCGCGCGGATGGATCAAAGTGGTCGTTATTAATTTCACAGCAATTTCTCATGGCCCGGTTTGCTCGACCTACTCTTTTCTACTCGCTTCTATTATCTTCGACGCGGTTTTTGCTGCGGCAAGCTTACTGCGCCGCGACTTTACTTTCATTTTTGTTTTCCCGTTAACGCGTCTAAATTCTCTCAAGAGTAACGAGTCCAACGTGCCGTAAAACCTCGGCGTCGTTTTCAGATTCAAGCTTGTTTCTCGGCGAAATCGGCAACGATCGGTTCTGAAAAAAAAAACGCCGCTTCAAGGTCCTATTCTTTGCTCGGCTTTCTCGTTTTCCGATCAAGTTTTTTGTGATAAAACCAACGCAAGATCGCCCGTCTCGATGACCGGTTTCGCTGCTGATAACACACACCCCGTCAACCTTTCTCTCTCTCTCTCTCTCTCTCTCGACATTTTACTCTCTTCCATATCGCGAGGTTCGCGAGCTACCTTGTTGCGCGCTACCGAGAAGAAGCGAAGTAAATTACGCCAATTTACGATCGTCGGAATTACGATAATTTGTGGCCATTACTACGAAGTGTTAAGATGAGAACCGTGATGAATACTTGCGCTCCTGCGCGTTCTGGCTCTTTGCTCCGCGCTAAGGATCAAACGCGCAGGATCGGCGGGTCCCGCGCGGCAATAGCGGCGTTTTCTATGAAGACGAGGCAAAAATCCACGCGGAGTTTCCGCCCACCTATTATGTTCGAATATTTTGTTGCAGTCGGAAGCAATTAAACGTTAAGTAACGTAGACTTTAACTGCAAATTAGTTGGTGCCAGAACACAAACATTCGCGTAAAGATGGCGCATTTTTCTTGCCGAAGTAATCGCTTCTGTTAACATTTAATCGCGACATGGCGCAAACGATCTGCCGCGATTTTTTTGTTTTTTTTGTTTTTTTGTTTTCTACGTACGAAAGCGAACAAGTCGAGTAACGGGCGACGGGACGAAGACGTGATCGCAAATTACAGTAATCAATTAATATTCGCGGGGTGTTATCGGGCGTTTATATTACGTGCGCCGGCGGCGGTGGATATAACAGTATACCAATCGACAAAAAAAAAATTGAACAGCGATTCTACACGCTGCAAGTTTTTTTTTCTGACGCACTGCGATCGAAGTGGCGCGATCAAATGAAACGAATCAGGAAACTCGGACGTGTAATGCGCACGACTCTCGTGGTTAAACGCTATCTCTCTCTGTGTTATCTATTGTGCGGT